GGCATCCCTAAAAGCCGGTTTTAAAAACTATAAAGCCCATTGGGAAATTTCCAAATCAGTAATTGGTGATAAATTCTTCAGATTTTTAATTCCCTCACTATGCCCCAAATCATATCTAATTGTTTCTGCATTCTTTCACCCTAAAGCTGCCAGCGTACATTTGACGTAGGATCCAACAGAGGATTGAAAAGCTTGAAATTACTTTCCAGAGAATATCTTGAACATATCTGTGCGCTCATGTACCCACACTGCCCCTCATCTGTTCTCCCCTCACCCCATCCTTTTACATACGGGCCCCTGGGGCCCAGACTCCAGAGAACCTAAAGTCAGGAAATTCTGGAGCTTCATAAACAAAAACTACTGATCACAAACGCATTTGATGTATGAATACCCTCCTGGGAGGGAATGTAATGCAGACAAGAGAAGCTTCAGACCACATACCATACTGCCAGGTGAACTCCCAAGTGACCAGAGGCCAGGGGGATTTGGTGGACTGAGGTACTGCGGCGGGGACAGCCATGCCTCATGGCAGGAAGGGCGAGCTGTTCACATCCCCTACTGCCATGTCAGCTAACAGGTCAATTCCAGGACTCAGCAGCAGCCACCGAATCTTGGTGTGCTAATACCCCTTGTAAGGGTTGTGGGGGAGATATAACAGGGAGGGGTTGACCAAGGACAAACAAAGAGGTGGTCACATTTTGGCAGCACAGTGAGATAGTACTGAGGAGAATGCAGGAGGTGGTGGTGTCCTGGAAGAAAGAGGGTGATCTGGATTAGTAAGACCGAGAGGAAAGGTTGCAAGGAAAATTGGCACCTCAGAGTTGTGTTCTGCAATTACACTACTCCTGCTTTTAAAGAGCCATTAATCCTTAAAAACATGGTAATATATTTTTTTTATTTTTTAATTGAAAAGAGCTTTATATCGTTTACATTTTAAAATCAGACCTATAAATGAAAATCTTAACTTTGTAAATAGAATCCTAGCAAATGCTTAAAGATGCACGGAAGCATTGCTTTTCATACACAGCAGGTGTGGAGTTGGGTAATCACAGGCATCTGTGCAATTAATTATTACATTTGAGAATTTATTCTGAGTTATTTACATTCATCTTGGAAGTGACTCTTCTCCAGATTAAATTAGAAAAGGGGTCTTTAAAGCTGGAAATAGGGGGTTTTAAATAACTTTAAAATTTTAAAGACATCTTTATTTTAAAACATTCACATTATTCCTACTTGAGGTTCCTAATATAATATGTATTTTATTCTACAGTTACTACAACCAGGGAGCTTTAAAAATTCTTTCTTAACACTGAATGTTATTTTGCATATCCTTCCATGCTTATTATGTACTAGATGTGCTGAAGGCATTTTTTATACAGTGTTGTATTTAATTTTCCCATTAACTAATGCTTTTTACAGTGGAGCCTCTTATACCCATTTTAGAAACCGTGAATTGAAACAAGTAGAGTTGTCCAAGCTCACATGGCTAGTGAGTGGTAAAAAGCAGATTCAAACCCAGGGAGTCTGGTTTCAGTCTTAATTTTAACTTGAACCATCATGCTCTGTTGTTCTGTTACTTCCTGGGCCTTAGAGACTGTTTGCTGGACTCTGCCTTCTTCCCTTTAGCAGGTTTTACTTGTCTTTGCTGGTGTAGGAAGTTCTTAACGGTTTTCCATAGGAGAAATCACCATGTTGGGATTTAAGAGTGACATCCTTGCCGGTTTTTACCTTTGTTACTTTGAGCCACTTGGTCACTTTGAGCCAGTTGCTTTATCTCCTCATCTTTCCTGTATCTGAAAATATGAAAAGGTGTGGAGAGATTTAAAAGAACTAGAATGAGAAATGCAAGGAGAATCTAGAACATTGTGTTGGGAAAACAGAGACTCCCTTCTAGGAGCTTGGTAGGCAAGCCTTACCAGCATACTGTAACAGCGATAAGAAGCACGTGTAGTATTGGGAAAGTAAAAGTGATCCAGAGTAAGTTCTGTCTATAGTGTAGAGAAGCTGGAGTGATCAAGGAAGGGGCTTTATGTGGAGGATTACAGCTGATCTAACCTAAAGCTCTCAGTGGACCTTTGTTCACCGTAGCCAGAGGGGCCTGGCGTGGGAATGCAGGTGTGGTGTAGAGCGCTAAGAAGTATTGCTTAGTTGCTAATACCACGTGGAAGGATTATCTATCAGCCTGTTTTATTTGTAACCACCAAATTGAGGTTTCTGTCATTATTCTGATATTCAGGCCATATAACATGTCATTGAACAAAGGGCCACTTTCAAAGCTGAGCGTTGGATTCAAATTTTCATTGCAAAGTGGAACTTCGTCGTCCTTTGGCAAGTTATTTAAATTGTATAAATGTCCGTTTCCTCACGTCTAAAGTGGTAGTAATAGTTTCTGCTGTGTAGCTTTACTTGTAGGATTCAGTCAGGTAATCTCTGTCAGGTACTGAACACGATGCCAGCTAGCGTTCAGCAGATGCCCTTTCCTCGCCTGAGCCCAAGTAAGGGGGCATGGGGCAGGCTGTGTAGAGACTGCGGGGCCGGGAGAGGCACAGTGGCCCCATGCTGTACCAGGGCCGCTCTGCAGTCTCAGCGCCTGCAGCGTCCAGCGGGTGCCCACTCCCGACCTGCTGGCGGCGAGGCCTGGGAATCTGCTTTGCCAGGCTTTCCAGTTTGTGTATACATGAAACATTGAAATCCACTGGTCACGCTTTTTGGTTAAGAGTAAGGCTCTCTGTGTTTGGAGGCTGACTTTGCAAAGAAAGCCGTGTCTTCTTGGGCACTTTAACCTTTTCAGTGTCTGTTCTTCTGCTTGTGAAATGGCACTAGCAGCCGTAGCTTCCTCATTGTGTTAGCTGGAGGATTAGGAGTTAATCCGCATAAAGCACTTGGACTCTGGCTTGGCACATGGGGTGCCCAGTAGATGTGGCTGTGCTGTAGTATGTATGGTGAGTGCTATGTTAGTGTCCAGTTGCTGCTGGCACAGAGTACTACGTATCTGTGACTTTAAATAACCTGGATTTATTATCTTAAAGTTCTGAAGGTCACGAGTACAAAATGGGTCTCGGTGGGCTGAAGTGAAGGTGTCAGCAGGACTGCATTTCTTTTGGGAGGCTCTAGGGGAGAATCCATTTCCTTGCCTTTCCTAGCTTCTAGAGGATTCTCTGTGTCTTGGTTCACGTCCCCCTAACCATCTTCAAAGCCAGCAACGGCCACTCAGGTCTTTAGGGACTCTTGTGATTACATTGGGCCCACCCAGATAATTCAGGGTAAATTTGAGGACAGCTGATTAGCAGCCTTAATTCCACTTTGCTACAGAACCTAACGCATTCATAGGTTTGGGGATTAGAATGTGGGACTCTTTGGGGACCATTGTTTTGTCCACCACAACCACCGACTTTAGATGGATACTCGGTGCACACCTACACTGGTACTGCTCTTCTGGAAACTTGCTTTCCTACTCTTGACTTTTCCTCCACCTCTTTCCATTCCCTAACCTGCCTTAGGTGCCCTTTGCCTCATATACTTTGAGCAAATAGAAGCCACCAGATGAGAACTTGCTCATCTGTCCACAACTATGTGCTTAGCTATGTATGTCCATCTTTAACTGCTTTGCCTCTGTGATAATGGAAGCTGTTGTCTTTCTCTTCTTAAAATCCTTCACTTGTCACCCTGCCTCCCCTCATTTTTAGATTTTGCAGACGATGCATAGGCTCTCCCATCTTTGAAAAGCCTTCCTCTAGGGGCACCTCTGTGGCTTAGTCCATTGAGTGTCCTACTCTTGGTTTCAGATCAGGTCATGATCTCAGGGTCCTGGGACTGAGCCCTGAGTGGGGCCCTGCACTCAGCAGGGACTCTCCCTCTTCCTCTCCCAACTCCTCTGTGCCTCCCCCCACTGTGCTTTCTCTAAAATAAATAAATTATTTAATAAATAAATATCTTCCTCTGGACCCACGTTCCCTGTCTGGTTTCTCCTCCTCCCTCTTACTCTTCAGCCCCAACCAAGAGGCCCTCTTTTCACCTCTTGGTAGTTCAAGCAGAAGCCTGGAAACCGCCCTTCTGACGCCAGGCCAGCCCCGCAGACCCGTGGTCTGCAGATCACTGCGTCTCCCTGTCAGTTTTCAAGCCAGCTGCCCTCTCCCAGGCCAGACCGTGGCTTCCCCTGCCCGCGCCTCCCTGCACCCTTCTTCACTCCATAGCTCCAGTAGGCTTTGAAAACCAGAAACAGACTTGTGTCACGCCCTTTTTGCCGAATTTAGGATAAAACTCAAAAATAAGAACGTACGTTTAACCAGACCTGCCCCTGCCACTCTAACCTCATTTCTTCTCTCTGTCCCTCACTGTGCTACAGCCACAGTCTCAGATTTTCAATGTGCCAGGCTCTCCTCTGCTCTGGAGCCTTCCCAGGGCCCTGAATCCTGCCCTCTCCTGTCATCATACCCAGCTCTCCTGGAAGCTGCAGGTGGCTGCTTCCTGTCCTCTGTCTGCATGGCTCATGCTAAGCTGAGGAGGATAGGACTCGGGTTAATTTCTTTTAGGACCACTTAATTTCATTGAGATGCTTTTTGCTGAAAAATGTATCAATTATCAGTGTAATAATTGACATGCTACACATTAGGAGCATCTCTTTACAAATTGCAAAAAGAAAAAAAGTTAATTTCCATCTTACACATCTTACTGTAGACATAGCCATGATTATAATGGAGAGAAACTGTAGAAATAATCATTTTTCCCTTCTGGACTCGCTAGCAAGACTTTATCGATACCAGCTAGAACGTGGTGCTCCCTGGTGGTATGTGTGTACTGCCTGGGGTACAGGTCCCGGGTGTTCTCCCCCAGCCCAGTTTATTGGATACTCCATGATCTAGCTGTGTTCATGGATGAGGAAGGAGGTGGCATGGTTATTTTATGTCTTGTAAAACTTAACTTTCTTGTTAATTTTTATAGTGACTCTTCCTGATGCCCTGATGCTTTATTAATATTTCTTTATGTATCTTATGTTACAGACTATTCAGACTATGAAGACAGTTCTCTAGAATTTCTGGAAAGGTGCTCTTCTCCACTAACTCGATCTTCTGGGAGTTCTCTGGCTCTGCGAAGCATGTTTACGGAGAAAAATACAACATATCAGTACCCGAGGGCAATTTTGTCAGTTGATCTTAGTGGTGAAAGTATGTGTAATCATGTAATGCTTAAACAAGTCTTAAGATTATTAAATGGGGAACTGAGCTGGAAACATACTTCAGTGAGGGCTTATCTGAGCACACTATTGAAGAAGTTATCCCAGAAACTAATACGAAAATCTCAACATTTGCAAGTTGAGCTACTTTTTAAAATTTCTATAAAGTAAAATTGGCTCTTATCATTAACTATAGGACATCTGGTGAGGAAGTTCCTAGTGTCTACTACGTACTGGTTATGGGTGTTTTACATGTGGATTCAGAATCTGTCAGGTTGCCCTGCCAGCCGTCCTGGCAGCCGGGGCTTGAGTGTACTCGCCTTCCAGGGCTTCCAGCAGTGCGAGGGAGACTCTCCCCATGCAGACCCTGATGGCAATGGCTGGAGACTAGAATGAGGGATGGGGTCTTCATCTTATGTAAAACCCCAGGGGTACTGACGGCTGAGCTCACTTCCGGCCTTCACCTTTCTTCTGAGGGCCCAACATGGTAGGTCCTAGGTGATGTGTTTTTGTTTGCATGGTTACCACTTGCTTTCTTCCAGGCCTAACTCCTGTCTAGCCTCCTGTGGAGAAAAGTGTCATCTTCCCTTCCTCCTAAAATAAGCACCAGGCAGTTTGGAGATTTAACATTTTCAAACATAGAGGGGAGGGAGGAAAAACTCCCTCTTCCTTTTCTAACAAGCCCAAGTCCCCTGTTCCCTTTTGGGTCAGTGGCTCTTCACCAGGTGTGTGTGACAGCTGTCACTGTGATGCTTTGAAACGACCAATCCAGAGATGTGCTGCAGAGCACAAATGAGATTTCTGGGAGGGTAGATGGAGTTCCTGAGTCATTCTTAGGGTTGACAGTCACATAAGGATACTCCTTTTGGGGCCGTCAAGGTCAGAAAGTCATCACTTTATGCAGAGTGCTGGAGAATGGAGAGGCTATCTGGTTGTCAGTGCTGTCGGAACTAGACGTGTGAGAGGTTAGTGGCAAGAGTGTTGAAGGCGTGTGCCCCCAGTCCTGCCCGGTGTGTGACGGAGCCCTGAGCTGGGAGGAAGGACGGTACTGGTACAGGGTGCAGGTCTTTGGCCAGAGGTTCTCAAGTGTTAGCATGCAGCAGAACCACCTGGAAAGCTTGTTAAAACACCTTTCTGGACCTCCTCAGAATGCCTGACACCTAATGAGCTCCCAGGTGATGCTGATCTAGAATCGCCACTTAGAGAATGCATCTGGGAAAACAGCAGTGATAGTTCAAGAAAATGGTGTTCCTGTGGCCTCTCAGTTGGAGCTGTTGTCCATGTGGTATTTCAGTAGGAGAGGGAACTTTTTTTTTTTTTTTAATTTGCGTTTCTTTTTAACTTTGAATCCATGGAGCCATTTACTCAGCCCTTAGAATTCAGCCAAACATTTGTTCGATGCTTGGGAATTAGTTATTCGAACTAGGTTTTCTGGCCAGTATGTTAAATTTGTATTCTGACGCCATAAAACCTGGTTATTTGGCCATGAAAACATATGTGCGACACATGCTAATTCCTTTCAATGATAATAGTTTTACATTTATTAATTCTGTTATGATTGCCATCCATGTAAGGCCACATGTATGCTGCAGCTGTGTTTGAAACTATTTACTCGCGTTCTAGTCTGCCATTTTGAAACATGAACTTGTGTTCAGGAAGGCCCAAGAGAAAATACTAGATTTGGATTTAAGATAGTAAAATGAGGAACGAGTGAAATTTCCCCTTTCGGTTCTCAAGACTGCTTATCGTGTTATTAGAAGGATTTTATAATGCCTAATTGATTTACTCCTTGAAAATTTTCATGTATTTCTCGAATATTTCTTCTGACCTCACTTTCTTCAAGATGTCCTAAGACCCTAAAGAAAAGAAAATGTTTATTTTTCTGTAAAACATTAACTTCTGATAAGTCAAAAAGAAAGCATTCAAAAACGGGAAAAATCAGAATAGAAACTGGTAAAAGAAGCACTAAATCATGAAAGGTATCAAATATAAACAGCATGACTTTTTTTAGTTCGAATTTGGCCAACTTCTTTCTGGTCTGATTGTCTGAAAGAGAATTTTCTCTGGCTGTGGACTCGCTCCTTTCTGGAGCGGCTTACTGCGCATAGCAGGCTCCTTCTAAGCCCTGGCCGTAGAGCATTCAGAATGCAGAGCCCCTAGTGCTGCGGCCTGTTGACACTCTACAGAGGAGGTGAGTAAGGGGCAGGTGCAGGAGTGGCGCAGACCATGACGAGAGGTTGAGACACTGAGGCAGAAGGAGCCGCCTCTGTCGCTCAGGTGCTCCGCTGATGGGCCTCCAGGTGCCTCACAGCAGCGGGCAGGTCTTCGACCGGGCATCTCCCATGTTTCTCCAGCCACACTCCTGCCAAACCTTTAGTGTCCTGTCGTCATTTCTTTCCCTTTGTTGTAAATAAATATTTCCTTGTTTTGCCTCGATTTTTTCTTTTTCCTCAGTGGCTGGGCTAAATTGGCATCTTTGACATCAGCAGTGGTACAAATACAAACCTAAAACCTGGCCTTTAAAAAATGTTGTGGTCATAAATCTAGTTTCTAGAATATACTTACTCATTTTTAAAATATTTTAAGCAAAGTGAAATTTTAGAACTCCACGTAGGGAACTTGTGATCACAGTTTCAGGAGCAGTGGTGACATTGAGAGCTCAGGCTCTGGAGTCAGGTAGTCCTGCCTGCAGTCAGCTCGACCGTTAGCCGGCCGCGCTATTCGAGCAAGTAGTAGATCTTCTATTTGAAGTGCTTAGTATAGTACCTGCTGCGCAGTAAGTGCACTGGTGGTTGAGGATTCTGATGCCGTCAGGAACAGCAGTGTTGATGTTACAGACCGCAGGCGTACTCCTTTTTGCTAAAGTGCCTTGACTGTTGTGCAAAGAACATAATCCATTCTTTTTATAAGCTGTGATTCTGGGGAGGATGAAAAGGACTAATGTTTGTGAAAGCATTTGAAAACTATGCAAATTTGAATTATTACCACCCTTAGCCATGACCTCTATAAGCACCAAGACGAGGGATACTTTCCAAGTTACTTGTAATAGTGTAGATGTTAAGATGTAAAGCCAATCATAACTCTCTCTTCAAAAATCATTTGTTTCTTTGTTCAGAGACATATGCTAATCCCATATGTCTGGCCTTCCTTTTTATATACTTAATAGCTTATAATCACTTCCCTTAGTGCCTTTCTATCTGGAAAAGTGACACAAGCGTAGGAAAACATATGCTGAGTATACTTTTGTGTATATTCTAGATTTATCCGACGTGGAATTCCTAGATGATTCTTCAACAGAGAGTTTGCTTCTCAGTGGGGACGAGTACAATCAGGACTTCGATTCAACCAATTTTGAGGAATCTCAGGATGAAGACGATGCTCTTAATGAGATTGTGCGGTGTATTTGTGAAATGGATGAGGAGAACGGCTTCATGATCCAGGTAGCTGGTCTTCCCTGTCGTAGCAAATAATCATTTCAGGTGCTCAGCGAGCACATCAGGGCGTCTGTGTTCTTTTGTCACTTGTGGTCTTACTGAAGACTGGTCTCTCGCCTATCATGTTTAAAATCCCAGTAGTAATGACGGGAAGGTCTCTTCAAATGAAGGAGACTGCTCTCTCACTTAACGATCACCCTCCCTTTGCGAGAGTGTTGAGTTTGAGGTCTTCAAGCCAAAATTCTGGAAGCCATTTTTGGAAGCCATTTGGGTGGGTGAGCATCTAGATACCTTGAAGGGTAGAATGTAGCAGCCCTTCCAGCCTGGATCCCTGTTGTTTATAGCCCTTCAGTGCGCAGTTAAGGAAATAAACGTTTCCTCTCTTGTCAAAAATTGTTACAGGGCCTAAGCATTACAAACCACCTCTCCCTGTAGAAAGGGTATCTTTAAGAAAAAAGGAGCATAACCCACGTTTTGTGATGTCATTTAGAAGATTTGGAGATGTTCGTTGCAGGAATAAAGAGTAATATTTTCTCGCTCTTTTCAAAGGTATTCTCAAATAAGGGAACTACAAAAGTGTAGGGTCACTACACAGGTTATACTTGAAGAAGTGACTGCTACACGTAATCCTCCGAACTTGTCTTTTTTAAAGAACAGTGTCCACACTTTAATAAGCTATTTTAAGGATATATTTCCCTAAAAATTAGTGGGAAGTAGATGAGAGCAGTAGTTTTGTGTATGTGTGTGTTGCGTGATTTAAGTAATCTAGCAAGGCGCATTTTCATAGCTGCAACAAGAGGGAGTTCTTGAAGCAGCCGACTCTGAAGTACAAAATCCCTCCTCCATTGGCCCTCGCATCATTGTGTGGAATGAGAGTTGAACTCTGGGAGGCAGCAAGAGACGGCCACTGCTAGCTGAAAGGAAGGGGACTGGTCTTTTTTTCTGGTGAGCAGACCTGTGACTAAGCACTCGTGTGTTTTCGGCAGTGTGAAGAGTGCCTCTGCTGGCAGCACAGCGTGTGCATGGGGCTGCTGGAGGAGAGCATCCCCGAGCAGTACATCTGCTACGTCTGCAGGGACCCTCCTGGTAAGCCTCCTCCCCGTTCTGGTGGCAAGGCGCCTAGAGATCTGATTACGTAGGGTACCCACTGCATAAGACATTGTTACTACTTCATCAGTTAAATTCTGCTTCCATGGTGAAATTTTAAAATATTTTTCATTGTTTGTGACAGTTTCGTTTTCTGTGTTAATTACTGAGGCCAGAACATTAGCCTCGTTTCATTAACATAACTGCTCCATTACTGGAGGGACAGAGTTATGTAGGTCATTTTCCTGGAGAAGGATTAGCCCTGTCGTGTATCCCTGTGTATTGATTTCTAAATAGGTTTATGTGTGCCTCTTTGAGTGGAACTGTATTCTGAATGTAACTCCTTGTGATGTGATTTTAAGAAAGTTCCTGACTGTGCTGCATATCCAGCTTATTTTAGTAGATGGGCTCTCCGACGATCACGGTCCATCCCTTTATTTTACTGCTGAGACAACTGAGGCATGGAGAGTTTCGTGCCTTGTGCACAAGGATAATGCTAGACATGGCAGAACTGAGGTGAAAACCTGTCCCTTTAGACTCCTTGTCCAGTGCCTTCCTCCGTGCCAGAGGCTTTCGAGTAGCAAGGTTTTGCATATTGTGTACACTTTCAGTTGCCCAGGTAGAAGATAACTAGATATTCTCAAATAAAAGCCTACCAGTTCTCCTCTTGTCTTTCAAAAAAAAAAAAAGATTCAGACCTATATGACTGTGGGTACCTGTTTATTCATTCAGCAGCCTTCACTGGATGCCTTCTATTTGCCAAATGCTGGTAAGAAGTAGGATGATTGATTCTAAGCATACCTTTCCACTATCTCATAGTATAGTAGGGGTCACAGACACATAAGCAACTAATTTAACAGACATTGACGTTGAAGATGTTGGATTATACAGGACCCTGTGAGATCTTGAAGAAGGGTCCTTATTCACTTAAGTAAAACTCTTACTTCATCCAGTTCAAAACAAATGTTAGCGAGAGAACGGGTACCCCGTTTAGTTTCTGTCCAGCCCTCTCAGCCTTTCTACAGGGCAGATGACGGACACATCACAAATGGAAAGCCGTACCCTCAAGGTTCCTCTGCAGGTCTCCTCTGCGTCTGAGCGCATCCTGAGTTGTCGGTAGTGGGGAGGAGACCCCGAGGTCGGAGGAGGCTCGCCGGCTTCTCAGAATGCTGTGTTGCTCTTCTTCTGAATTTATTCTTAGTGTCAGAGCTCACCTTGCTCACGGCAGTGTTACTAAGATGGCAGTGGGAGGGAAGTCCGAGTAAGTGGAAAGCTTTGTCATTTTAATGTCACCTTCATCTGCAGGTCAGAGGTGGAGTGCGAAATATCGGTATGATAAGGATTGGTTGGATAATGGGAGGATGTGTGGGTTATCGTTTTTAAAAGAAAATTACTCTCATCTCAATGCCAAAAAGATAGTATCCACCCACCACCTGCTTGCTGACGTCTACGGTGTCACTGAAGTCCTGCACGGGCTGCAGCTGAAGATCGGCATACTGAAGTAAGTGCGGGGCAGCGGGCGGCGCGCACTTGAGTTCAGGGTCATCAGGCAGCCTTTGGGAGGTTCAGATGAGCAATTTGGGAGACAGAAGAGATATTTGAACACATTTTAACTTTGAAAAATAGGATTAATAAGCTTTTTGGATGAGTAGCGGGTTGCTGCCTTTTGTCCTGGAATGAATAAGCATGGTTGAAGGTCACTACCACCTCTGCTAGTCCAGCAAATGCTGGTCCCTGCCCTGCTGTTTTGTGTAATTGCCGTAGGTGCAGAATTAAGTACAGTTACTTGGTGAGCCGGTATTTTGTGCCCTCCTCCAGGAATGGTGTCCAGATGAAGTAGTATTTTTAAATTACCTTAAGATGGACTCTGAAGAGAGCAGGTCATATAATCCATCCCTCTGCTCTGCACCAAATGGGTTTTAGTCATCCCAGACTCTTTTCCCTTAAAACAACAACAAGAAAAAAAAAAAACAAAACAAAACAAAACAACCCTAACCAATCCCTAGGGAGCCTAAGCCTCCCTAAGTAACATGTCCAAGTATTCTCGAAGCCCATGTTTTCAGTTCTTCTAATCCCTGGCTAGAATTCTTCTCTTAAGACAATATTTTATATAAAAACAGGATGATTCACTGGTTTCTCACAAGATTGTCTTCATTTTGACTCACTTGCCTGGGCCAGAAACTTACCCTTTCCCCTCCTCGGCCTCGTCTGTCCAGCTTTCCCCTCAGCCTGGTGTGCCCAGGCACCTGTCTGTCGTAATTCCTTCATGTTGTTCTGTGTGTTTCTGTCTCTCTTCTTCATGCTGTCCCAGCCCAGGCTGCTTTTTCCACACTGCCACACCTTTTTAGTTCTCTGCGGCTCCAGTCTTGTACTCTTTGAGTTCATCCTTCTTACTGTTGCCAGGATGATTTTAGTAAAAGATAAGTAGGACTTTGAAGTGCCTGGGTGGGTGAGTCGGTTAAGCACCTGCCTTTGGTTTAGGTCATGATCCCAGGGTTCTGGGATCAATCCCCATGTCCCTGCTCAGTGGGGAGTCTGCTTCTCTCTCTCCCTGTGCCCCTCCCCGCTGCTCTTGCATGTGCGCTCTCTGATGCGCTCTCTCAAATAAATAAAATCCTAAAAAATAAATAAATAAATAGGAGTTTGCCTCTTTTTCAGCTTCATGTCCCACAGTGCCTTCGTGGCTCTGCAGCATGCACTCGGAGTCCTTCCCTGATAAGTATTCTGTTGTTTGCTTGCGGTGTCTTCCCTCTCCCACTTGTTCTTCCCAAACCATAATCCCTGAGTGAAGCCTGCTTTATCATAGTTAGAAGCTTTTACTCACACTTCGAACCTTCTACAGCTAGTCTTTTGAGCAGGTGCCTTTTCATGATACCTGCCCAACCAGGGCTGACCACACACCCTTCTTGGCAAACTCCTTACATACTGAGGTTGGCACTTTTGTGCACTTTGTTTTTTCATGTCCGTCTCTCCTTACTACACCACGAATTCTTTTAGGGTAGGGCTTATGTCTTATTCATCATCTTGTTGCCAGTCCCTAGTATACGTATAAGTATTCAGTGACTGTTGAATGTAATTTGCTTCTGTTGTATGTCATAAATCTGAATATGGATTTCTTTTTCTTTTTTTTTTTTTTTTTAAGATTTTATTTATTCACTCGACAGACAGAGATCACAAGCAGGCAGAGAGGCAGGCAGAGAGAGAGAGGAAGGGAAGCAGGCTCCCTGCTGAGCAGAGAACCTGATGCAGGGCTCCATCCCAGGACCCTGGGACCATAACCTGAGCCGAAGGCAGAGGCTTAACCCACTGAGCCACCCAGGCGCTCCTGAATATGGATTTCTTTATAAAAAGGGTATACGAATGCTAAAACTTGAGGGAAGAGCTAACCTATTAAGAAGAAAGTCTATTTCATGCCAGAAATTAGTGCTGTAGTATCAGATTTCATTTAATCCTTAAAATAAGCCCGAAAAATAGATCTCCTCTCATTTGATAGAAGGGTAGTCAAAGATAGAGGTACTTGTCTAAGCTCAGTGACAGAGCAGGACATGGTCCATTAGACAGAGTACAAAACCAACTTTCTGCTGTGCCTTTACTATAAAAGAATTTTAGTATTTTCTGATACTAAATTAGAGGTCCAAAAGATAAAATGTGTCATTTTAGAACAATACTTGGGTATTACTAGAAGAAAACTAAAGTTGGCCCCTGGGTGCTTGTCTAACCTGGAAATAATTAATTCACAAACATTGAGGTTTATGAAAGGTTTATGCCTCCTGAGTATTTCCCTTTCTTATCGATTCTGATTAAAGAATTGTGGTTTCACTCACTGCAGAATTTTAATGACTAGAATTAGCGATAGGAGGGCGTTACCATAGACTGTGGGTGCGGGCTAATCAGTGCAACATCTTTGGAGGCCGCTTGGACATTTATCACATTTAAAATGTGTGCCCACTATCCAGCAGCTCCGTATCTGACTGAAATTTCCCCACCGTGTGCAGAGAGCACACGAACACGCACACATGTCTGTGGGTGGGAATGGGCTGCTGAGCCTGGACCGGGGTACATGGGTACTGTTGAGCTCTAGAGTAAAAGTGGGGGAAACGTCTGTGCACTGAGGGGGCAAGATGCCCATATATGTTTTCTATGAGGAAAGCAAACTGAAAGCCCCATTTGTATAAAAAGAGAAAGTATATGCTTATCCATTTAAAAAATAATTTTATGTGTGTCGAAAACATCTGAAAGATTATACCTCATTTTTTTATGATTGCCATGGTAGGGAGGTTTTTACTTTGTATGCATTTATTGCCTGAATTTTTTGTCATGAGCAAGTATCACTTTTTGATTTAATGAAGATTTTAAACTATTGTCATATACAAGTTTTTTGTGTTGTAGAATTTAAAAAAATATGGTGAAACGTCAATAGGAAAAGAAGAGCATCTATCAATTGATGATGTGAGCTATGAACATAATTACATTTATTGTTGCCTTTTTTAAAGATTTTATTTATTTAAGAGAGAAAGAGCATGAGCTGGGGTGGGGGTTGCTGAGGGAGAGGGAGAAATAGACTCCCTGCTGAGCAGGACCCTGAGATCATGACCTGACCGAAAGGCAGATGCTTAACCCACTGAACCACTCAGGGGCCCCTCATCATTGCTTTACTACCTGAGTATTATTTCTATAAAATTATATTTTGCAAAAAAGAATTCAAACTTTGGATTAAGTTCTGGGACAAGTTACCCTAAAGAATACCTCTGCTTTTGTCTTGAACCCCTGTCCTCCTTCTAGCCTGGCTCCCTCGGTGAGTCTAGGTCTTCAGTAGAGAAGTGGAGATCAGTTTGCCTGAGTTAGCACACTCACTGTACAGAAGGCACGGACAACCAGGGGTTATCTGTATCATTTTTATTTTCTGAAATTTATTATGGCACTAAACTTGTCCCCCCCCCCCCCGAACTGCTCTTTCTCCAACTTTGCTTTAAGGAATAAACATCATCCTGACCTTCATCTCTGGGCCTGTTCTGGGAAGCGAAAAGACCAAGATCAAGGAATTGCTGGGATAGAGAAAAAAGTAGCAGTGCAAGACACAGTTAATATAGAGGAAAAGAAATACCACATACAGAACCATAAAGAACCACCTCGTTTGCCCCTAAAAATGGAAGGAACGTACATAACAAGTGAGCACAGTTACCAAAAGCCACAACATTTTGGTCAAGACTGCAAGTCTCTTGTAGACCCTGGGAGCTCAGATGATGATGATGTTAGTAGTTTTGAAGAAGAACAAGAATTCCATACAAAAGATAAAAACCGTTCACACTACTCAGTGAAAGAAGATGGAATGCCTGAAAAGGTATAACTAGTTCATTTGTTTTGGCTTGGAAAATATGTTAGACCATAGGAAAATTTTATAAAATAAAACATACTGAATTCCCAGTAAAACTATGCTTATATTTCCAAGTTCACGAATACCTTGTTGGGTAAAGACATTTGCTTTCTCTATTAGAAAACACTGGCTATTTGAACACTGAATTATCCCCTAATTCAGAGTTGTAGTAATTCAGTAAACTTTTGCCCTAATCAAAGTTTCAGTTTTTATAAGCACACTTAACATACCTCCAAAAACTATAAGACGTATTTTTTTTCCAAATGAAGATGTCTGTGTGTGAGAATGTGTAAGAGTTTGTGGGTGTGTTTATATTAATATAATATGTGTTTGAGATAAAAGGTGGCATTCCAGTCTTTTAAAAATTTTAGCATGCTTACATATGCATATCAATTCCATTATGCGATAAACTGAATTCTTACAGCTCTGTGTCCATTGCATTTCTATGAACTTTTTCCTATTCATAGAGATTGTCTTAGAAATATTGTTTCTTCTTTTTTCATTGATTTTTCAGCTAGTAATGCCACTTTAAAATTAGTTCTTTATTTTTCTGGCCTGTTTTATCAAGAAATCACTGTATACAAATAAATTTGGGAAGCCTATAGTTCATGATATTTGTGGCAAATGATTTAGTCAAATTACTGTCCCTTTTATGAAATGAATTCTTTCTGGTGAGTCTGGAGTTCAGATTTTTTGTGTATGTGTAAAGCATTTTGCAATTCTTAAGTTTTTAAAAGATTTTTATCTCTCTCATGCCTCACTGATTTAACTGCAAGAGTTAATTATAGTCTGCGGGTAATGAGACTTTAAACTGGCCTTTGCCAGCCTTCATGATTTTTCCATCATTGCTTTCTGCCTTCACTCCACTTATGTCATTAGCTTAGATTCATTGAGGAAGGGGTTAGTCTAAATGAGCTGGGGTTTCTCGTTACAGAGTATCATTAGCAACTTATTTCTTTAGCATGTCTTGTTGAATGCTCTCCACCCTATGGAGCCCCATGCTAGGCTTTGTGGAGAGACATGGCAAGCATATCTGCTCTTTTAAGGACCATCAGATATAATTTAATTCTGCACTGGCACTTCCTTTAAAAATAATCTAAGAGTCTGATTGGATTTCACTGATTGTTGTGGTAATGAGGTGTTTGGTGTATCTTTCCTGTTATGACATTACATTTCACCTAATTTTGTTTTTTCCTAATGGTTCTTTGGAGAAGAATCCAGCTGAGAGGAATACGGTATTTATTTATAATGATAAAAAGGGCACTGAAGACCCAGGAGACTCACATCTTCAGTGGCAGCTCAATCTCCTTACACACATAGAGAATATGCAGAACGAAGTCACCAGCAGGATGGACCTAATAGAGAAAGAAGTTGATGGTAATTTTAAGAAAGAACTAAAATACAGTGGCTACAGTCTGCAGAGTGTATTTATTATTGTTATGATGGCATTGTGTGAAGTGTTGTAAGTTACGGGCTGAGAACTGTAGGTGCTGTCTCTACTGATGGGGTGTCCTCCTTCACGTCGCATTCAGTACAGCTGGGGTTTGGGGTCTTTCAGGCTGAAAACAATATGTTTGGATATTATCTCATTTTTTTTAAAAGGTGGATATTAATTAAAAACCGGGTGCAATATAGAGAACATACGGAATATTTATTAGTTTCATTGAACTGTGTTTTCTTTGGAAGTCAGTGTAAGGGCCTTAAGCATATTTAAAATATGAGGGAAAACATTTTGTATCTTTGCTCTCACTATGGTCAGTAGGAAGTAAAATCAACAACAAGAAACCCCCACAAGCTCAAGTAGGTAAAACTGAAGTTTGCACACACGTTTTCAAATGCTTTTCTTTTGTATTTTTCATTTTATCACATAGGGCCCTGAGGAGTGGACAGGAAAGATACTATCCCCATTTTATAGTTGAGAAAATTGAGTAAGAAATAACTGATTCCTAATCTAATAGGTTTTTTCCTAACCTCATACATAAGATTGTACCCCCCCACACACCTTTTTTTTTTAATTTCACCCTACAGTAAGGTAGAGCTCCTACTGCTTTGTTTTTACCTGAGGAAAGAGGAAAAGGAAATCCATTTCAAAAACATCTTCCATATGGTTTAATTTAGCTTTTTGTTACTTTAATGTGAGTAGATATGTGACGGGGGAAAAATACATTTGACACTATCCCTTATTATTAATAAAAAGTGTGGAATAACTAATTGCATTTTGCCTAGGCTTCTAATATGCTTGCATTTTTTTAAAGTAATGATAAAATAGTGGGACTGGAAAGGACACTGAGAAGTTGCCACCTCCTTTCCATTCTTAAAAAGAGCTTCCTGATTTAAAAAAAGAATGGTTAGAGTAGTTAAGTTTTATTTAAAATGAAGCAGAGATTATTTAAGTCTAAAATAATAGCTTCAGCAGGCACAGGAAACTGTTTCCTATTCCAGAAGAGAGTAGAAGGAGATATTCAAAATGAAATTTGTTTATGCCTATAAAGGGAAAAATTACCTAAAATAAGAACAGAAGTTACCAAGAAGGACTAGAGCTCTTGTGGGATATGATATAATATAAAAGCTGCTAAAGCCTCTCAGAAATGGCTTGAGTCTGTTCATGGCCTTGGGGAGAAAGGAACGTGAACTCTGTCTCCATCCTTTTCCAGCCTTCCAGGTAGACCATTTTGTGACTTCTTCCAGTTGCCATTTAAATTTGTTTGTTCTGTTCTCTCTTGCAGTTCTGGAAAGCTGGCTTGACTTCACAGGGGAGTTGGAGCCCCCTGACCCTCTCGCAAGGCTGCCCCAACTTAAGCGCCATATCAAACAGCTCCTAATTGACATGGGCAAAGTACAACAAATAGCAACTCTTTGCTCTGTATGACAACCGTGAAAACCTAATGAAAAGAATGTGGGTTTCTTCAGTTGATCATTTTTATTATCCACAGGACTGCTAAGTGGATAGTTAAAAAGCGTAGTGATGTTTGGTCATTGACTGATTTGTGACATCAATAGGATGGCACCTGGGAAAGGAAAAGGAAGAACAACCTCTATCAAGGAAGCTAATATTAGAAAAAGCTTATGAGCAAGCTGTCTGATAATGTGTTATATGCCAGGCAGGGATCAATGAAGTTGAATATAATTTGTACCGAGGAAATTGAGTCGGCAGGATTTTTCAATAGTTGCTTTACATGAAGCTCGAGATATGTGTAGAGAGAAAGATGGTGTGCTTATCTAATTTTTAGTAGAAAGATCCATGTAATAAACCAGCGTTTGGCCAAAAGCAAAACTGTAGAGGCAAGGAGATTCTGGAGAGTTCTATAAGGTTGCTGTATGAACTGTCTTCTCTGCAGGTGATCCCGCTGCTCTGGAGTTTAGAGTATTTAAACTTGTATGGGATCATGAGCTGTTTCCTAGGTAATGAATATCCGTAATCAGAAAACTGACAGTGGAAGCCTCACTTCTGAGGAAAACAGTTGTGGAATTCTGACTTCATTTTGATTATATATTTTAAAAATGCCAAATAATTGAAATTTCTTGCAGGCATTAAGCTCATTATAAACAGAATGGCTTGCAGAAGGGTCCGTGTGCCGAATGACGAAGACGCTGCTGGAGAGAGAGTGCTAACTGTCGTGGGAGTTCCGCTCCCGGGTCTTGCGTATGCCATCAGCCCGTCAGAAACACAGGTGTCATGCAGACTATATATGTCCTACATATAGTTGAATTCAGGACTCAGGCATCAGCGTACAGTTTGATCCTGAGCATGCTTGGTGTTTGCCTTCAGATTAAAAATTGTAAATCACCTCAGCTGGGATGAGGAGTGACAAAAATAATGAAATAATTTGTGGCTGTGGATTTTTTAACTGCTGGTAGTGGGATACTGGAAAAGCTTCATTTCTGAAGATGAATTTTATTTTTAAAAAATACATGCACACTCAAAACTTTTAGCTTTGATCACAAATGGACACATTTCTGAAACCAAAGGCAACTAAGTTGCTGAGTTAGCTCTTGCTGGAATTCGGGCCCGGGCCCTCCTGTCTGCCAGTGCTCTTGTGAGTTGTGTGCCGCCGCCATGCTCCATACGCGGGTATGCGTAAGCGTGTGTGCTTGTTTGAAACAAACACTCAACGTACATATGTACATATCCTACACATATTTATATCTGCACATATCTAGTTTTATTACTATAGACTATAAGAGTTGGTGGTTAACATGAAATGTTACCTTTTAACAGACTTTTTAAAAATTAAAAATGTATGTACAGGTTTTGAAACTTTTTTAAAAAGGGGAAAAAGACTGTTCAGAGGAGGCAGTTTGATGATAGAACACTTGGATATTTTATGCCTCCTTCTGTTTATCAGTTCTAGCGATCTGTGTAAATGCATTGTAGAGCTGATACACAGTAAACTTGAATTTATCTTTGATAAGAATACATGCCACTGTACATTCAGATATTATTTAAATTTGCAAACACACTGTTCTATATGTAAGGTACTGTATGTAAAACTCTTTATTAAAACTATTCCACATATCCTAAAATTTCAGCTTGCCTTCTTGCGGCCTTATATTTTGATGTGAAGACGATTAAAAGAATGTGCAAAACCATCATTAGAGATTTTTATTGCCTTTTGACATTTTCCAACTTGACAAATGTGCCAAAGATCAACAGACATAAGATACAGTCTTGTGTATTTACTTGTTATACATAAACGTTATCAGAGATCTTACTGGGAAATGAAAAGCTTTAATAGAGGTGGTTGGGATACTGGCTTAAATTTGTATATTAAAGTAAAAAAAGAATAGTGCCTCTATTCCATGTGTGGCGTAAGCGTCCTAATGTCTGTATTACCTTTCATTTGTGTTAAAAATAATGGCTCTAATCTTTTCCCTGTGGTCGTTAAATTCCAGACATTGAATTTGTATCTTTTTTTTTTTCCCCCCAGAGTGGAGCAGATAGCATCCTTAACCCATGAATAGTGGAGTTGCCTAGATTCTTGTCACATACACAGAAGACCCTTTGTACCTAGTAATACTCATCTTCTCAGTCCCTGGTGACCACAGTTAGATTGCTGTGCATTGTTTCTGTAGTACCTTATGATCAGATCAGTTTATTTGTTAGCAGCCAGCAAATGAGAAGTTCCATTAATACTTAGGTTACTAAATTTTTGTTCTGCTTTTATGTATACGAATTGAAAGTCTGAATTTTTTAATTTAGGTTTTTAAAGTCAGTCAATGTCAGATTACTTTTATACACAAACCCGTTTAATTTAGAATATATCAAAACTTGATTTGAAGTAAGCTGCGCCTTTCCCTGTTTGAGTATGAATTGGTTTTTGAGAAGTAAGTCCATTGTGAGAGGTTTCAGATGAGTTTTCTTTCCACTTAGTCTTGCTTAACAAATACATGTCTTTAAGTATCAGCAATAGACTAGAGAGGGTGTTTCTTGATACCTTTTCACTGCTACCCTGACAGAACCAAACGAGCACCAGTGGGAGGGATCCTGAGTATGGGACTGATAAATGTAACTGGTACTCCCTCATGCGCATGCGTAGTCCCCCTGACTTAGTATTCTAAAACTCAAGGACACTGCACTCTTTCCTTAAAGGAACCCAGTCACTCTCCTAGTTTCCGAGCACTCTCATTTTCACTGATTGATTTCCTCACATACTCATAGTCCACGTGTTTGAAACAAAGCACCCTATTTCCCCTCCACTCAACTGGACCTCCTCCACCTTCACTCTCTGCTGTGACATTATGCTGAGAGCCCCAGCTTGAAACTCAAGAGTCTCCCCATATCTCTCCCATCACCACCTGTGCTGCCTGCTCAGAACAAACGCTGTTTACCTCCTTTGCCCTCTCTAGTTTTTTTTCACATCGTGCTGTGTTAATATTGGTGTTGATACTGGCCTCCTGAAATTTGAACCTTGCCATCACTATAGTTCATGAAAACGGTCATTTGCCAGGCTAGAAGATTCAGAGTTCCTGAGCGTCTGCTTTATGTCAGTGTGGTGCATTACCTGCAGAGTCTGGTTTAATGCTTGTGTGGATAGTTGGGCAAACGGTCCTTTTCAAGTCCTCAGGAAGACTTAAGTGGCAGGTTCAAGATGCAGATGCTGTGCTGGTCAAGCTCATAACCTCCAGCAGAGGGTTTTTTTTTGTTGTTTTTTTGGTTTTTTTTTTGCTGATTTTGTCAGTTAAGTTGTCTTCTCTGAAGCCGCTAGTGACTCCCTGTTTCAGATCAGGTCTGTGTCATCCGGCTTTCAAATTCATTTAAGTACAGCCTCATTGTTAGATAGACCACGCTCGTTTTCCATGGCTTGCCTCCTTAACATTTCTCTCTTCTGGAAGATTCTCCTTTGTGTCTCTACAAAACCGAGCAATTACTGGAGCTTCAGATTCTCCTCCATATCCCAGGCCGCCTCTTGTACACTGTGCTGTGCCTGCTACAGAGGAGCAACGTCCGGGAGCGCTGTACCCGGCACTGGGGGACTGGTGTGAGCTCTGCAGTTACGCCACTCCCGTTTTCACTCTGGCACATGACTAGCAGTCATCTCTCTGAGCTTGGGGGCTCTTCATCCGTCAGACGTGCATGACAGCTAACAGAACTGTGCTGAGAGGTAGATGAAGCAAATAAAGTTCCCAGAAGCTTTGATTAAATTGTGAAGTTGAAAATTAGATGCAGTGGTCACATTGAGTGTCATCCTTGTGCCAGCCATCGGGTTATGTGGCTGGATCTAGAACTCACCAGGTCATAGTCTATCAGAAACATTGAAAGCCTGTTTTTCAGAGATGGGTGATATCAAAGACTACAAGGAGCCAGAGAGGCAAATAATGGAAAGGTAATTACATTTGTAGGTAGAGGGCTTTGGGGGAAATAGAATATGTACATTAACTAAAAAAAAAAAAAAAAAAAAAAAATGGTATTTGAATGTTTTCTGACCTCTGTGTAGGAATTTTGGAAAATTATCTGCTCCTGGTACCTATGTCATTGGGTACCCCTAAAAGTAGATCTGAAGATAAAACTTAAGTATGTTTACTGTGTTTAAGAGCTCATCCAAGGAAGTTAGAGTGAGGAAGATGAAAGGGCGGGGAGGGGAGGAAAAAAAAGTTATGCACAGCAGAGGACACTGCTATGGGCAGTGGACCTTTGCTTTTGCCATTTGAAACTATTCACCATAAATTTAAACAATTGTAAAGGGTGTGATTTCCAGTTTGTAAATACTGGCATATTAAAATCAACCTGCTGTTTTTAAATGTATGTAATAGAATCAATCATTTTGCTACTTACCAACATCTGTTTTCAAAATACACAAGCAAGCTTATTCTTGACATTGGGAACTTTCATGTATTTTTTTTTTAATTTATTTTCAGCGTAACCGTATTCATTGTTTTTGCAGCACACCCAGTGCTCCATGCAATCCGTGCCCTCTCCAATACCCACCACCTGGTTCCCCCAA